GTGTGGGTGGGTTTATGTCTCCGCTAAGGAGGACGCACTTACCAGCGCAGCGCCTTGTGGCCCAAGCTCTGCCTGAGTACATGTCTGGCGACGATTTGTAGCTTATTGTTGAGCATCTTATACACTGGACAAAACAAACACACTCAAACAACAATAAGATCACTTTTCATAACTTTTTAAGTGTAAATTTCCGGGAGCGATTTGCGCAGTCTTTTTCGAATTTATAGGTAAAATTTGCCAATATTTCGGACAAACACGTCCACTATTCGCCGCGTACAACCGCCAACTGGGGGAAGCGCATAGCTAGCTTATCGAAATCAACATCGCCTTGCGGAACTTATAGAGAGAATGAGAGAGCGGCGAACAGGCAGAGAGTGCGTTGAGTGTGAGTGTTAGTGTGAGGGCATGCAGAACACAATGATTTTTGAAAAACAATTAAATAGTGAAAAGCAAACTTAAGGCTTGAGGGGTATATAAGGCGCAATAGATCAAATGACGACATTTAACCATATGAAAAGCCATAAAGAATAGGCATACAAATGTATTATACGAACATTTTCTAAAATGTGTTACTTCAGATAAAAACTAAACATAAGAAATTTTCTACGACAATATAAAACAATAATATGTAGAAACGCATTTAATAATATATGTATAGAACTTCAAATTATATAACTTCGAATTGCGATTATTTTCCGCTTTTTAAAAGTTGCTTAAATTTATATTTTGTCAAGCAACATTTTAATAATATCTGTATTATCGGTTCACACAGGGTATTTATTAGTCGACTCTTGCATCATTTTCTCATTGATTGCTACTATTTTTACAGAATTTCATATTTACATTAGTTTTCGTTGGCAGATCAATGCCAATATTACCGCGTTTTGTTTTGTTCTGCTTCTAATCGAGGTTTCTGTTTTCTTTCTCACATTCTTCGTTCGACACGTGTCGCTTTATTTGTTTCATTTTTGTTTGTATTTCTATGTGTTTCTTCGATACGTTCTTTACGCTGATGCCGGCTTTTGCGTCGTGCATTTTTGTTTTGCTTTTTGTGCTTTTGAATTGAAAAAGCTTTTTTCTCGCATTGCTGTGATGCTTTTATTGTATGTGTTCTATGGGAACTGGTTTTGCTCTGCTTTTGCTCTTTGCTTTAGTTCTTGCTTTTCTTTTTAACTAACTTGATTTATTATGTTTGAAATACATACATATGTACATACATATGCAGATGCTTATATGTATGTATGTATGTGTAGATGGATGCATACGTATGTAGAAATGTATGTTTATACATGGACATTCTAATAAAATTTGATAACATAGCACCTTGGTGCTTGCAAATTGAATAAAAATTGTGTGTTAGTACAATATGTAGAAAATTATAGGAAATTGAAATCAATTAGCGGGGCGTGTACTTATGTACATATCTATAAATAGGTGTCTGTACGAAAGTACTTATGTACCTTTGTATGTATGCATATATTTATACATATATGTACATATGTATGTATGTAAAAATGAATGTTTACTTACGTGTACATAAATACATAAATATGAATGAGTATTTCTACATACATATTTACATATGTAGGTGTGTACATATACATATGTATGTATGTACGTACATATGTACTTATGAATGTATTGCATAAATGTACATAGACATTACATTTTTTCATATGTATGTACATAGAGCTGCGAAAAATAAAATGAATTTTTGTGAAAATTGTTTTTTGCTGTAATAACTAATTATTTTCTGCTTATGTGGGTGAACAAATTAGATCAATACATTGATAAATGTATGTAGGAGAACTTCTCAAACTCTGCATATGCAAGTGTTGCTATTTTATTTTTCGCTGCTGTAAGTACATATGTACATATGTACTTAAGGATATATAAAACATATACATATGTATTTAAATACAATAGTTTGCAAAATTTTCCTATAGTCAGATAGTAATACTTAAACAAGGCAATCCATATACAATATAAATATCTATATTTATTTACTTTACTTAAATGTTTATTTATTTACTTTGCCTTTTCTACCGCATCTCATATCCAAATTCGTCGCGTGGCTGTTTGCCTATTATCTACAATATTCCGTAGCTCTGCTGATATGCTAATCAAAATATTAAACTTTTTATACTTCTTATCATATCAAGTTAACACACGCTTATATTTTATTGTCGGGCTGTGTCTGTTCGCCGTCTGGCTGTTTGGAATATTTCCAAAAAAAAAAATATATATATATATTTTTAGAATGCTTAGCTGTGCACTGTGTTTAGAATATATAGAGGTACATGTATTGGTTTAGCGTAGCTCTTTAGAAAACTGGTTTTAGACTATTTCATGACAGCGGAATATTGAATAATTCTGAAATTTAGTTAGAAACAGTTAAGAGAGTATAACTAGAATTTAGACAATATTTCATCTGGAAATTAAATTAGATTATTTTTAAAATAAAGAAACAGAGCATAAGACAGTTGGCAGCTTTTCGCTTATTTCTACTTAAACAAGTAGAATTCTCGTTCATGTTTAGAGGTTCGCTTAGAGGTTTGCTTAGCTAGCAATCTAAGAATTTCTTATCAATTAATTTATTTTTTTGTCGGGGGCACTAGCATCATAATTGAACAAGTTTTATTGCTTTCTGTGTTGGGTGCTGTCCACTTTGACTGTACTGTACTGTAGACTACTCTTACATGGAACGATTGGATTATATACATGCTGATGAGTGAATGCAACAAGTATGGGATCCTTTAGCGTTTTGCCTTCTCTGCGCTCCTTTTGCCCAATAGCATTTCTGTTATAGAGGGATAGTCTCTTCGGTTGCCGGGCGCCTTATCGATCTGAGCCTCGTCCAGCTCAAAGAGGACGTCCGAAACTTGACGCTCTCGCGGGTGCATCATGCGTATGAAGTCGCGATACACCGTCTTGCCAGTCTCGAAGCAGTAGTCCTTGATTTCGGTGCATTTGCACTCAGGTGGGACGAGCGCCACTTCGAACAGCAATGTGGCAAACAGTTCCAGATTCTTGAAGAAATGCTCGCGAGTGAAGCCCTCGTTTATCTGACCGCCCAGCATGTGCACGGAGCAGAAGGGCATGCCCATCACCTGGGCGTTGCTCATGCAGTACTTGCGCAGCTCGTTCAGCACGGGTATGCAGGTGCACATGGTATCGGGAATGGCAGCCTCGACGTCGAAAATGCGCTCGTACGCTCGCTTGGCTGCCAGATTGAAGGGCGCATGCCTTGCCTCGTTTATGGGCTTAAGGGAGTCCGTGATCCGTAGATATGCGGGAAGCTCGCACTTGAGTCGCTTATAGGCATCCTCCAAATGGTCTCTGACCAAGAATGTGACGTAATCGATATCCTGATCGGGCACCAGCTTGACGGAGAACTTGGACACAATGCGGGATGGTGTAAAAAACTCGCGCATTCCACCGTAGGATCGATGCTCCACCTTGTGCAAGCTCAGGCCTGGCATGCACCAACGGTGCTTGAGGAACGAAGCCTGCGATTCCTCGTGGCGCAGTCGCTTGACGTTGTACCGGTTCTTGAAATCCATGATGCCCATCTCAGCCTTGGAAAGTATGTCCCAATCGCGGTGTGTTACCGGCAGCACATGACGGTCCAGATTTATCATTAATTTGCTCTTCGGATCCGTGAGAGTGTTCATCAACAGGCACATCTCAGCCAGGGGCTGTCGTGTTGGTTTCTTGGAGCACTCCGCCGGCTCGGGCTCCTCTGGGCTATTCTTCTTGGCATTCTCTTTCACCTCCAGCTCAAAGTAAATGTAGCCGCTGTGGCTGGTGGTGAGCAACGGGGTGGTTGGTGTTATCCACAGATTGGTGGTAGTTATCAAGAGATCCACGCCCTTGAAGAACACTTTACGATCGTCAATCACCTTTCGCAGCATCTGGTTGTACTCGGTGTCGAAGGTATCGATAATGAATCTCAAGTTGACCGGCAGATCGTGCATTGCGTCGAGCCAGGCTTGAGCGGCAAATATCCAACAGAGCACGGGACCCTTGGTGGAAGTCAAGCCATTGCCAAAAAGATCCTGATTCGATTGGGTCAGCTGAAAAGGGTAATGGGACCAATCGCTCTTGTTCACATCCTTCACGGTCACCCCGCCATAGACGAGCACCACGTTCTTGGCGGGCGTCGAGAAGTAATTGGCAAAGATCACATAATGCGGCGTCTTCACATTGCCTTGTGGCTGCACCGTGACCACCTCCACGTCGAACTCGAGCTCGGTGAGGCGCTGGGACAGCCGATCGATAAGCTGCTTAGTTTCATTGACGTACATCGGGTTGCCCAATATGCTCTTAATCGCGATTATTTCGCTCGTATAGACCATATTGAAATCTTCTTTGTCATACAAGGCCTTAATCACTTTATCCAAATCTTTCTCCGACACTGTTATCCGATCTTCTGGAAGATAGTCCCGGATGCAGAAGTCCCGCAAGCAATCGCAACGATCGTTCTTGTCACGATCGAGGAATACGCCGCAACAGTTCTGTTCGCCCCAACAAATCATTTTACTACCCTATTCCTACAACAATGTCCTAAATATCCCCAAAATATGTAGAAATTTTGATTGTTAACTGAATGAAATCTGAATCAAATCTGAATCAAATTAGAACTCATGAACAGATTAAACCGAGCCACCTGGATCAGATAATATCTATGTATAATAGATCTGATTGATGTTTAGCAGAAACCAAATAAGTTTTTGCTGTAGTATAATTAACTCAATGCCTGTTTCACATTTACTCGATCCAAATAAATATTAATCAAGCATTGAGGAAACAATACTCGATATTTAGACTTCTACACTATATAAAGGACATGTCAATTCAAGTCGATTGATTTCGCCTCTTCTTAATCTTTCTTTTGCACCTGAAGGGCAATAGTAAATATTTCTTCAAGCTATATGTGGTGGATCTGGCTCTGGACCGTGTGGGGTGAGCATCGCTCGAAGCAGCTTTTTGCTTGAATTGATACCATTTTTTCTCGACGTTAACATCATTTATATCAACGTTACGTTCGGTGTCCAACATCTCCTGAACACCACGCAAATTACAGTATTGATAAAGCACGTTGCACTTGCACTTGGGGCGCAGCATCGACAGCTCAGCGAAGAGTGCGGCACAGGTTTTGGTGTGGCGTAAGACGTTCAAGCTCTCAATGCTCTCGTTCTCAGTGTGGTGCTTATCTATGCGCTTTGAGTAGGGCAGCAGGATGATCGGCTTGTTGATCAGCTTTTGCAGCACATTGGCGATGGGCAGACAGACGGGTATGGCCTGCGTGGTAATGACGTCCGTCTCGTAGACAAATTCCACGGCGCGACAGACGGCTTTGATTAGTCTCGAGTCAGTGGCCCAAGAAAGCGGGTCTATGCCATCCAGCAAATGCACATTGAGCTGAGTTTTCACACCTAGTTCGGTTTTCAGAAACCGCATATGATCCTTGACGAGGTTGAATACGTGCTTAACCTCCTGGTCGGGCACCAGTTTGATGGAGAATTTGCCCATCACTTTCATCGGCAGAATGCGACGCCATCCCGGATGGCTGTCGGCGCCCTCGACCCCGTGCATGGTCAGCGTGGGCTTGCACCAACGATTCTGGAGAAACTCGACCTTGTTCTCCTCAAACCTGAGCCGGCGCACGTATAGATCCTCCCGGTACTCATAGGTCCGAAAGTCGGCTGATTCGAGCAGATGCCATTCGACCGTGCTTAGGCGCTTCATATTGATCTCAATGCCGGGTATTTGGATCTCATGCTCATCGTTGACCAGCCCATTCATCAGATGGCACAGATCAATCATTGGCTCGTAGACGAGGCCACTGGCCAGACCGCTCTCTAGATTCTTGTTGGCGCCGCGCACCTCCACACCAAAGTGAGCCCAGCCGGTGAGGCTGCAGGGGACGATGGGATTCACATTGTTCACCCACGAATTCACATCCAACACCATGAAGTCCACGTCCATAAAGAAGTCGTTTTTCGCCGTTATGTGAACCTGCAGACCGGTGCTGCCCACCTCGTGCAGCATGTCCACGATGAATTTGATGTTGATGGGCAGATCGCTATGGACCTTGAGCCAGCATTCGATGGCCTGCAGCCAGCCCACAATCATGCCTTTGCCGGACGTAACGCCCCGGCCGTAGAGTAAATTATCCTTGGCGATCATCTTGAAGGGATCGCTTATCCAGCAATCGGTCTGAACGGGCAGCACATCCAAGTGGCCGTAGATCAGCAGCGTGTTCTTGCTGGGCGAGGAGAAGTATCTGGCGAAGAGCACCTTCTGATGCGGAACCGCAAAACAGTTGGCCGGATTGTTCTCTATGGGATAGTCATAGGTCTTAAACTTCAGGTCGGTCAATCGGTTCGCCATCCAATCGAGAGCCTTACAGCTTTCCAAGAGCTTCTCTGGCTCCACCGAAATCGACTGGAACCTTACCAGTTGCTCCAGATCGCTGATCATATCGTCGAAACTGTCATCAATCTCCTTTAGCACATTTCGCCGGTTCGCAGCGATGCGCTCTCGCTCCAACTGATACGCGGCGCTCTGAAAGCGCAGCTGACACGATTCGCATCGGCATCTGCTCGACAGCACAAGCTGTGCATCATCTTCACTGGTTCGAATGGAGCTGACTCGCTGACTCGCTTTGGGTTTTCGTGTCGACGACGAGCGCAACGACTCTCTGCGAGACCGCAACTCAAGCGATCGCGATGAGCTCCTGGTATTACTGTAATTAGCATTTTTCATTGTTTTTTTGGTTTTTTTTTTTTTTCGGTTTCACTTGAAATAATTTTGATAACTGTGTGGAATTTGATAGCCTTAGAGAAATGTGCTTTATGTAATTGTGTTAAAGTCGTCTCTTTTTACGGGGATGTGTTCGACTCGGGATATCTAGATGAGTCTGAACTTGACGAAGGCCGAGGGCTTGCTTCACAGAGATTTTCGCGCCAAAAGCGGTGACGGGCATTCGTGGAATCAACAATTGTAAACAAACGCCTGCGCCGCAGTGCTCTGCCCGCTGACGGCTGCAGTGAGCGGCTTCGTCATGTTGCCAAGGTGCGCAACAATGGGGCTTGCCACGTCAAGTGGCAAAATGAATTTCGACTGGCAAATCAGAAACTCGCAGAAGCTCGTGGCAGACGGTTGTTACCACATTTTGCACTCGCTGTTAAAACACACTTGGCCAACAAAGACGGCCAACGGCAACGGCTACGGCAACGGCGACGGCGACGGCGCTAAAGTGAGACGCACACGCAACCAGAAAAGGAGCCATAAAAATAAGGCTAAACATATAAAATTGTGTAGTAAAAGTGAAGAAAGCGAAGAAAGCAGCCGAAAAAGAAACCCAAAGCAATAATAATAGTAAAGCGGATGTGTTGTTGTTGTTGTTGTTGTTGTAATTGTTGTAGAGGAAACATACGAAAAGTGGGCGCCGTGCAAAAGCAACCAGAGCCGTGTCTGTGTGTGTGTCTGTGTGTGTGTGCTTGTGTGTTGCCAATGAAAATGCAAATTGTTGGCAACAAATATTGGTAAAACAACAAATAATAGAATTGTGCAATGCCAGCGCAGGCCACAAGCTATGCAACGTACACGGTAGAGCGAGACAGCGAACAGCATAAACAATTCCTGCAGTAAGCAACAATAAGCTGCACTCTCGCCTCCTTTGTGCCTGGTTGTGTAATGGCCAGTGGTCGAGAGGCAGAGCTTTGAGCGTTTAAACGTTTAAGCGTTGAGCGTCTGAGCCAAGTGGAATGTCGCAGCCTCGAGGCGGACGGGGCGCGCGTGGCGGCGGCGGCGCTGGTGGCGCCGGCGTTGGCCGCAAGACGCCCTCCTCATTGACGGGGCCGCCCGACGATTCGGCCAATACCAGCGAACGTGCAACGCCCGCCAGCAAGGCCGACTCGGATCCCAAGGATGACAGCTCCAGCAATGGCGACAAAAAGGATTCGGATCTGTTCTCGGCGCCCAAGCCGCCCAGTGCGGGCGCCTCGATACGGGACACGGCCAACAAGGTGCTGGCGCTGGCCATGAAGAGCGAGTGGACGCCCATCGAAGCGGAGCTCAAGAAACTGGAGAAATATGTGGCCAATGTGGGCGAAGATGGCAATCACATACCGCTAGCCGGAGTGCACGATATGGTAAGACAACAAAAGAGACAAACAGAGAGAAAGAGAGAGGGAGAGAGACTGAGAGAGAGAGAGACTTAGTGAGTGGGTACAGGACTTTGTAAAATCAATTTTGGAGCCCATCGAAAGTCGACGTCGCCCTTATCAACGTCCCCAACTGCGGCTCGACGGCGGGATTTCAGTTGTTGTTGGTTGTTTACTAGCCAAAATAACGACACAGTAGCTAAACGTAGATGTGTGTTTGTGTGTGTGTGTGTGTTGCTGTGTGTTATTTGATAGCGCGGCCTAAATGTTTGGCTGCCAAGGCAATGGCGGGCTCGCAGGCTACGTCCTGCCACAAGTTGCGCTGACTACCCCCGAATAAACTCATAAAGCATCGAAATTGAAGCGCTTCGATTTCAATTTACCATAAAAATATCAAACGCAAAAGTCGTTGACATAAAATTAACGTTGCAAGTCTTAAGGCCGACAGCACCCCCAACGACCCAACAACAAACTGACAATAAAATGCAAGCAGCAGGCAGGGCCACAGAATAGAATATAATAGAAGTCTGAATGCAAATGCCCGATTGGAATGTAGACTGAAATAATGGGAAGCAACAACAACGAGCTGAGCTGGGGGTAAGGCAAAAGGGTTGCCTCTCATGTAAATTATTTCACTGTGCGAAAGGCATCATTAACATATATATACATAGAAAACTTTAGCTAGACAACAGCCAATGATACCCTGTAAATATGCAAATCGTATAGAGAGTTATGTACGGCCAGCAGGCCGATTTCGCCATAGATCGAGCTGCTCTCAAGGCTCAAAATGTCTGCTTGGGATCTTGGCCAAGAACCCATTGCAGTTAGGCTAACAATATGCGACAGCTGAGCAAACTCATTTCAATGAATAAACAAAAAGAAATAAATATATGTACGAAGGGTATATTTTAGTCGTGCAGCCCTCTCTTCTAGTTTGTTCCAATTTTATTTATTTGGCAACTATTTTTGGTGTATTTTTGGCTGCCAGACATGACTAGGAAATTGTTATTATTATTTTGGACTTGATTTGGTTTTAATTATGAAAATTACGCCAAAAACAAAAACAAAGACGAAATGAGGTGAAAATTAGGTCTTATCAGCGATGGCAGGAGAGTGTAACAAGCAAAAACTAAGCATGAATACATACATATACTATATAAGTATGTGTATATAAACAAATGTGTATTTCTTCTTTATAATAATGATGATGACATTGTGGATTATACTAAAAGTTTCAGAGTTCAGCAAACATGATAAGAGATTCGAACTTGGCAACATGAATCATGAGAATGTTCTTTTATAAGTTCGTTTATATATAGCAAACATAGCATGGCATAATCTGAATTATTATGATTCCATTTCTTCTTATGTCTAACTATATTCCATAT